TATTCTGGAATATCTGCCTTAATCTCACAGAAGATCTCTAGGTAAATTACTTCAAGTGCAAATAGGTAGAGTGTGTAGCCCAACAATGATTCATCTCCACTATTATAATATATTTATAATTATCAAAGCTATCAGAGATTAAGCAGACTGATATCCATGGTGCATGGATGTGTGTGTGTGTGTGTGTGTAAAAGGAAACCCTAAATGGCTAATAGAAAATGTATTTAAGCTGAAATTTAGATTTGTACAAGTTACTGGATATAGACTATTCATTCTTTGGATAGTTATATTTCAGTTTTGTTAAATTTAGCAAAATTAATTTAATTCCTTGATAGTCCTTTAAAGTATCGCTTTACAAAGTTAAAATAGAGCACTGGGTGGTTGGTGCTAAAAACTCATTCCCGGTTTTGAAGCTAAAAGAGACTGTTTGATTTGATTTAATAGAGGGAAATTACAATGTTAAAGTTCTCAGGAATTCAGAATGCATATATTCCACTTGAATTACATATTCCTACACATTCAATGGTACATACTCTACACTGTAATAAGTAAATGTCTGTAAACCTGAGAGCCATGAAAAGCATTTCAGATCGAAGATACAAAAATGTCTAATAAATAATTAATATTCATTTATGATTCAACTATAATTTCTCATTAAACAAGTGATACCGCCTTCATCCTATAAAATAAATACTTTCTAATCACTGCAGTATTCTATGTAATTGTCCTGCAGTTCTTTCCTGAAACACTCCTATTTATGCGCAGCAAACCTCATCCTTCTGTGTCTGTGTCCACTCCTCCTCAGGCTCCTTTTATGGGATTTTTATATTATTATCATAGTCCTTGTGTTGCTATAACATAATACCCGAGACTGAGTAATTTATAAAAATCAGAAATTTACTTCTCGCAGTTCTGGAGGTTGGAAGTCCCAGATCAAGGCCCTGGCAGGTGAGGGCTCAGTCTCTCTGCTTCGAAGACAGCACCTTAAACTCCAACACATGAATTTTGGGTACACATTGAGATCATAGCAACTATTAAATATGGTTGTGCTCACAGTATTTTTTCCTCGGTTGAAATCCCTTTCCATTGTGCATGATTTCTTTGAGTAATCCACCCCGAATCTCTATTTCCAGCTCTACCCAATGCCTTTCATGTGCCCAGGTTTCTCTCGGATATCTCCATGGGGATTTCCTTTTCGACAAGAACAAACATCCCTTTTTTTCTCACTGGTAAAGTTAATATATTTATAAAGAACAGTTTTAAAATATATACACCATCCCGGTATAATGTAAATAATAAATACTGTAATATATTATGAACTACCTCCTCCATAAAGGTATTTATATTTGCAATATATTTATATGAAAATTAAACTACTGTGAATGTCTCTAAAAATGCCCATTAGTCTCTCTAAAATGTTAGCAGTTCTAAAATTATTTTTTTCTGATCGGAGATATATTCATTTACAGTAAATTTCTTTAGAGAGAATTATAAATCTCTTCTGCATATAATTTGATATTCAAATAAAAATCTATTTCTAAGGTATCATTTCCAAAATGCATATTAAATAGTATCTCTGTGGGTGAGCATTTTAAAAATAATTCTAGATGTTACATGGTATTTTTCTTGACAAAATAATTGACATGTAATTTACTCAAAACCTTCTACTATCATAAATATTTTAGTTGTTTTTTCAATCTGAATCAAAGAAGAATATCTTGGTTTTGGTGTCATATATTCTAACAGAAAAGCCTCATCAACACTCTCAGTATTTAGAGCTTTGCCTCTGGCTCTTGGCTGATGGCCTTTGTCCATTAATTCGGCCACTGCTGGACACTGGGATAGCACAATGCACAAAGCAAACAAGGTCTCTGTCTCTCTGGAGCTCACCTTCTGGTGGAGACCCCATTCGAGTAGGTTTAATGGAATGAAATTGAAAAGACACCCATGATCTTCAGACACTATCCTTAGTACTAAAATGTATAAGAAATTAGAAAATACTGAATTAATGGTGAGTTATTTTCTGGAGAAGCAGAAGATGAAGGCAATGCTATTCTAAAGCTCTGTCTCATATGCACATTACAAATGGCTATGTCTGGAATACTCTGTGCTGGGCATCTGCCTGTACAAATCTAGCAACCGGCCAGTGGACTAACACAGATGCTCACTAATGTTCAACACATGCAGGATGAATTCGCCTTGTTACTTTCAAAAATCTGCTGAGCATCCTAAAAGTCTTCTCTTTTTACAGACGCTGGGAGGGCTGGTCCCCAGGGCTGGGTCCTGCCTAGTCTGGTGAGGAGGCCCCAGCATCCTTCAAACAAAGCTGGCTAAGTCACTCAGTCAAGTGCACTGAAATGCAGGCGTGCTGCTGCTAGTGTCGGGGGAGTGTCTGCAAAATAGAAGGAAGCATCGGGAACCTACAAAAATGAGAAATAATGTATTTTTTAAAAATTTTGGGTCATTTTGTAGCTGGTTATGAAAACATAGAGCAATTAGAAGGTCTTTCTTAATTCACTTATTAACAAATGATGAGTGTTGGAAATAGAGCTGGCACACTGGAGAAGTAGTAATAATTAATCCTAATTACTTTACATCTTACAGAACACTTGCAGCTTCTGAACTGTTTTTCCTGTGTAAGTTCATGGTTGTGTTTCTCTAGATCGAAAGCACAGATGGGTCAGGTAAAGGCATAAAGACAAAACACAATTTGTAATAATGAATATGATAATAATAAATAATGAAAATTTAAAAAATAATATAATAAAAAAGTTTGAGAAATTTTTGGAACGTGACAGGTAAACGTATGTTACACTGATAGCTACTAATTTTTTCTGCCTTATTAATCAGTGATTCCTCTGTCTTATGACTTGAGGGACAGGAATCTCCAGGAATGTTTCTGAAGGAAGTGGCAATTAGATTTGGGTTATGTTCCTTTTGTCACTGAGGTGTGACAAGAATCATACATGGCATATACGTTAATCATTTAATGATTTTTTAATTGTTAAATATAACTATGAATTAACATTTTTAAAAATCTACTTTCATCGCACAAATCAACCACAGATCATTTACCAAGTAGACAACCTGCTTTATTAGTTTAATATATTCTTTCTTTTATTTTGCCATGGCCATATAGGACATGTCTCTCTTCATGACACACATTTTATCTGATGCTGATCTTGTTTTTTAATGCTTATTATATAATAAATCTCTATTACAGGCATTTTCAAAACATAATTTCCTGGGTAGAAGTTTCCATTTCTGCACAGTATGGTTACTTATGGACCTCTGGAATATCTATGCCTAGTTTTCAGAGAGGACTCTCAACCTCTGAAATTGTGGGAAAATTCTTTGTGTCTGTGCATTTCTGAGAAAAAGATCATCTATTGCCTGAGGGCAGAAAAAATTTCTGATAGCCACTAATTCTTTCTGCTGAATCATTATAGCTCCCAGGAAGTAGAAAAGAAACATCTAGATGTTCTTTAAAATGTGAGTCAGGAAAAATTCCTCAACACTCAGAACCAAAGATCACAGCAGATACTTTACAACGGAACAGTTACATAAATGCATTCCCACTTCATCTCTGCCTCTCAGCTGGGTTTCATGAAAAAATTAATCTTAAATTAACTTCATCACTCTTTATCAAGCTTTAGAAGGCTGTAAGAAATAAGCATTTTTAGAACCAGAAGTAGTTGTTTTAAACAAATCAACTTAGACTTTTCTTCCTGCTTCTCCATGTTAGTTACAACAATAAATCCTAGAAATAACACGCAACTCGAGAACGTGGAAAGGAGACATCTCAATGGATTCCTCAGAAATAAAAAGGATCATAAGGGGATATTATGACCAATAATACTGAATAAATTGAATAAGGAGACATTGATAAATTCCAAAAAATGTCCAACCAATCACGACTGAATCAAGAAGAAACAGAAAAAGCTGGAACTGACCAATAACAAATAAGGAGATGGAATTATTTCCTTGAAGCACAGTTAGAAGGTATCTAATTGCTTAAGTACATTTATTGAACCACTGAATCTTTTTCTACAGGAAATGTTAAAGCAAATGATGTTCTTGTTATTTTGAAAGACCTTTTCCAAGCAATATGCTTTTTCTAAAATGCTTGAAATGCATATGCTTTCGATTCTCACGACAGTTGTACTACTCAAATTGTAGGATAAATATTTTGTATATCGGTTAGTGTCTAAGAGATCTCATTTACTATAAGTTTCCTGGATGTGATTGTTGCCTCAAACTAATATTTTAAAATCAACAAGTTTAGCTTAAATCTGTGGACATGTAAAACTATTACTACTAAAAATTTCACTAACACAAAATACTACTTATATTTTTAAAACTAGATCTGTGTATTAATGATTTATTATGAACACTGCTCTGTCACATTCACCTACGTAAATTATCTAAAAGATAGAATTCATTTCTTCTTTCCAATGTGATGGTGCACAATGAGAAATTAATTCGTGCAACAGTAACTCAAGATATTTTAGCTACAGCCAAAATTCAATTCAGAGAGAGAAACGTGTTACTTATCCTTCATTCATTAAAGTGAAAAACAATTAATAGAGAAAAACAAAACATAAAATATAATTTTGCCTTACATCTACTATCTGTAGAAAGCTTAATTATTACAGCCTTGTGAAATTATAAACTTATAAAAACCCATGTAATATGAAGAAAAAGTATTAGCTTCACACTATAAAGCACGTTAATAGGTTTTGATGATTTCTTCAATGATTTTTACTACAATATAGAGTTGGGAAGAAATGTACATTTTAAGTGCCCTTTATGGTTATTTTTCTTTAACCATAAAACACAACATTTATTTAGTAAGATAATGACATTAAAAGTCAAATTACATAATGATTAGTACATGATTTGAAATAAAATCAAAATTAAATATTAAGTTATTCATGGTTTATAAAATGATTTTTGAAGATAACTGAGAAGATCCCTTTACCTGGCCATACTTGGCTGCCAGGTGGAGGGGCGTGCATTCCTGGTCATCTGCTGTATTGATGTCCCCGCCGTGCTCCAGGATAACAGATGCCACCTCTTTGTAGCCACTTGCACACGCCATGTGCAACTGCAATGAAGAGGTACTTCATTATTTAATTTGTTTTAAAAAAAGTAGTAACACCAATACAGTTTACTCAGTGGTTTAAAAGAGACCCATTTAATAAAATATTGGATCTAAAATACAGAGACCATAAAACCAAAAAACATACATGCAATTTTATTTATTTGGTATATGAGGATATTATCATTCTTTGAAAGCAAGTTTATGACTTTATTATTTTCCTTCCGACTCTGATAATGTGCACTTTTCCATGTAATTTCTATTCCCTCCAAGTTCTCCTTCCCACTACAATCTGAATATTGAAAAATACAAAATGTTATAAGTCAATAGTTTACCACTTCTTGCCCAAAGGTCAAAGATTTACTGACTAGCTCTAATATTCCAGGCCCTGTCCTTGGTGCTGTAGGAGGGGACTTCAAAGGCATAACTTGAAACAGGAAACACGATCATCGCGATGCTTATATACAAAGGCACAGGAACACTAGAAAGGATTGATTCATCCTGGCAGGCTTTAAATGACTATGTAGTTACCACTTTAACATTCTTCCATTTAGTTTCTTAATGGAATCGGACGTTTAGAAATGAGGTCATAGGAACTGTAATGATGAGGTCAGGGTTTGGAGAATTTTTCACATTTTTCAGATGAGGGAATTCCTGTTTCTAAGGCAGCAGACTTTATTCCTAAGGAAACCATCATCAAACCTGACTTAAATTAGGTTACTAAGTAACGACATGATTTATTTCACAAACATAATAATTAAGTAGAAGAAAATATCAAGAAAGAAAAAAATAAATTAAAACCAGTAAAATTAATGGCTTGTTCTAGATTTGGTGGCATGGAATTTGGTAGCTCTCTTCTTTTCTGTTTACAGAAATGATAAAGACAAAATTATTGTAAAGTCAAAAAGGCAAATTTAATGGACATATTTTTATAAAACTCAGCAAAAACATTTGCTTTTTTACCTTCAGACTTAATTATGCTCTTTAATCTACAGTGTATACTTACATGTTTATTTTTTGTACTTTCGAATACATTAGAATAGCAAACATATTCATCTAATTTAAGGCATAAACATTAAGACACTAAATTTCACATCAATCTTCCCACGCTTTGTTACATACAGCACTCATCTCATTAATCATTAATATTCTAACAAATGATCTTAAGTATAATATATCTATAGGTATTTTAAGAAAAAGGATTTTATATACTTGTTCTTCTAGAGAACTAATCTTTCACCTGCTTCTAAATTTATTCTACATTATTTAAAGACTATTTAATAGTCAATGATTGGCAGTTTATTCTGTGCTATATGCAATAATACCTGGATCTCAGAAGAGTTTTATTTTTAGTATCAAACTGAATCTATAAAACTAAATCAAGAATGGTTCCATGAGTTGGTTGCCAACTGATACTAATGAGGTCAAGTTTACAGGGCCATCCCCTCTAGGAGTAGATTTACTTTGCATCCAGCAAACATTGCATTCTGCTATTTAGAACTTAGTCCAGTTCCCAGCCAGTCATCTCCTGCACAGCCTAGAAGGAAGAGAGAAGAACGCCGATAGTCCTGGCTCATGTACTAGCAAAGCTCTTCAAAGCACTGGCTCCCAATGACATCTGTGGAGGCTGCAAATTTAATTCTAGGTAATCTCAAAACAAACAGAAGCACGCAATACCCTAATTGAACACTTTCACTTCACATAATCACTTTCACAGAATTTCATAAAATATAATATCAGGAGCTAAGACTTTACCTTGATTCTACTGGCATTCAACTTCTGAGTTCATAAGCAAATCATTAGATCCATAAGGTATAGTTTTTCATCACTAGGAACACGTTAAACAAAGTTTAAAAAAAAGTCTGTTTTATGAAATGTAGTTTATACTTCTACTACTTGTCCTGGCTATGACTCGGAGATATCAGACACCCAAATTTGAAAGTGCCTAGCATCATCGTATCTTAGGATATTCCTCTCCTGCTATTTTAAGGGGTCTTGTGAGAAACCCAGTTATCATTTCTCTTTTTTTTTTTTCCTTTTTGTCTTTTATACTGACCGGTAACGGGATCACAACCCTCGGTGTCGCGCCCATACCGGGGACCGGCAACGGGATGGCAACCCTCGGTGTTGCACCTGCACCGCGCTCAGCCAGTGAGCGGGAACCGATCTCCACATGGGATCCGAACCCTCGGTGGGAGCACCTCTGCGCTCCCAAGCAGCGCACTCTCCAGTGCGCCACCGGACCAGCCCACCCAGTTATCATTTCTGAGCCAAACTAGCAGCAGCATATTCAGAAGCACAGTTCTCATGGAAAATTACTGCAATTTGGAAATCACTTACCACACAGGACAAGACGTTATAACGGTTTCACAAACATTATATATAAAAGTTATAAGTTATTTCTCCTAGTCTTTACAACCTGTGATATGGTTATCACCCTGATTTTGTGGATGGAAACTCTGTGGGTTAGAGAATGCAGGTAACGTTCCTTGGGCCAGTAAGGAAATGTGGCCACTGAGATCTGAGGCCACGTTCTTGTGCACCCTCCAGCACCAGGAGGAGGAGAGTGGACACCAGAGGTGGCCAGGCCACTGGCTAACACCGCAATATTGATGCTTCTAATACATCGCAAGAAGTGTTAATCCCACCCCTTATGCATTTTAATATAAAACATTTCTTCTTCCTGTAAACCACCACGCCCCTCACCCCCTCACCCACCCCAACATACTAATCATGTACTAGAATGTTAGTCTCTGGAAGATGCACAGGATTTGCACACACGCTTCAGTCCTCCCTGGATACACCACCAGCACCTTGTTTGCTGAACGTGGCTGATTGCCTCCAGGTATACTTTGCAAAGCCATCACCAGGTCCTGGTGTTTTCCAGACATAAAAGAACAGCAGAGTCTCACTCCAGCGGGGATACTCTAATGGCATATTTTGATGAAATCTATGTTAGGAGTAAATGTAGATCAATCTTGAGGAACAGCCATTCAAATACCTTCTAGGATCAGTCTGGATTTCTGAGCAATAATTTCAGTTCTTCCCTCATCTATATTTGTGTCATAATGCTAACAGAGGAGCTTTACTATTTCAGTTTTGACTGAACTATGAAGATAATGGATTTCATATCCAACGTGAGACTGCACATGTGAATCTTAAAATAGTTCTCCATGTCCAAACGCTGCTCAGACGACTCTACCTCCAGACTGCGGGCACACTAGGTCAGAAATTAGAGCTATAATGAGAAAGGAAAGGTTGGGCATTTTTGTAGAGCACATACATACATGACAGGAATCCACCTTCCTTCCCCGTGGTGTGTGTGGTGTGTGCGTGTGATGTGTGTGTGGTGTATGTGGTGTGTGTGTGCTGTGTGTGTATGGTGTGGGCTGTGTGATGTGTGGCGCTGTGTGTGTGGTGTGTGTGTATGGTGTGGGCTGTGTGATGTGTGGCGCTGTGTGTGTGGTGTATGTGCTGTGTGTGTGGTGTGTGTGTATGGTGTGGGCTGTGTGATGTGTGGCGCTGTGTGTGTGGTGTGTGTGTATGGTGTGGGCTGTGTGATGTGTGGCGCTGTGTGTGTGGTGTATGTGCTGTGAGTGTGCTGGTGTGTGTGTAGTGCTGTGTGGTGTGTGTGGTATGTGTGGTGCTGTGTGGTGGTGTGTGGTGTGGGTGTGTGCTGTGTGTGTGCTGTGTGTGTGGTGGTGTGTGGTATGGTGTGTGTGTGGTGGTGTGTGATGTGTGTGTGCTGTGCCTGTGGTTTGTGTGTGGTGGTGTGTGGTATGTGTGTGTGCTGTGCCTGTGGTTTGTGTGTGGTGGTGTGTGGTGTGCGGTGTGTAGTATGTGGTGTGTGGTTTGTTTGAAGTGGTGTGTGGTGGTGTGTGGTGTGTGTGTGGTGGTTTGTGGTGTGTGGGTGGTGGTGTGTGGTATGTGGTGTGTGGTGTGTGTGTGGTGGTGTGTGGTGTGTGTGTGGTGGTTTGTGGTGTGTGGGTGGTGGTGTGTGGTATGTGGTGTGTGGTGTGTGGTGATGTGTGGTGTGTGGGGGGGTGTGTGGTGGTGTGCGGTGGTGTGTGGTGTGTGTGTGGTGGTGTGTGGTGTGTGTGTGGTGTGTGGTGTGTGTGTGGTGTGTGTGGTGGTGTGTGGGTGGTGGTGTGTGGTGCATGTGTGGTGCGCAGTAGTGTGTGGTGTGTGTGGTGATGTGTGGTGTGTGTGTGTGGTGTGTGTAGTGGTGTGTGGTGTGTGTGGTGGTGTGTGGTGTGTGTGTGTGGTGTGTGGTGTGTGTGTGTGGTGGTGTGTGGTGTGTGTGTGGTGTGTCTGTGTGGTGATGTGTGGTGTGTGTGGTGGTGTGTGGTGTGTGTGTGGTGTGTCTGTGTGGTGATGTGTGGTGGTATGTGCTGCATGTGTGGTGTGTGTGGGTGGCATGTGCGGTGCTGTGTGGTGGTGTGTGGTGCGTGTGTGGTGCGTGGTAGTGTGTGGTGTGTGTGGTGGTGTGTGGTGTGTGGTATGTGGTGTGTGTGCGGTAGTGTGTGGTGGTGTGTGCTGCATGTGTGTGTGTGTGTGTGTGTGTGTGTGTGGTGTGTGGTGTGTGTGTGGTGTGTCTGTGTGGTGATGTGTGGTGGTGTGGTGTGTGTGTGTGTGTGGTGTGTGTGTGGTGTGTGGGTGGTGGTGTGTGGTGCACGTGTGGTGCGCAGTAGTGTGTGGTGTGTGTGGTGGTGTGTGGTGTGTGTGTGTGGTGTGTGTGGTGGTGTGTGGTGTGTGTGTGTGGTGTGTGTGGTGGTGTGTGGTGTGTGTGTGGTGTGTCTGTGTGGTGATGTGTGGTGGTGTGGGGTGTGTGTGTGTGTGGTGTGTGGGTGGTGGTGTGTGGTGGTGTGTGGTATGTGGTGTGTGGTGTGTGGTGATGTGTGGTGTGTGGGGGGGTTTGTGGTGGTGTGCGGTGGTGTGTGGTGTGTGTGTGGTGGTGTGTGGTGTGTGGTATGTGGTGTGTGTGCGGTAGTGTGTGGTGGTGTGTGCTGCATGTGTGGTGTGGGGGGGGCATGTGTGGTGGTGTTTGGTGGTGTGTGGTGCGTGTTTGGTGTGCGGTAGTGTGTGGTGTGTGTGGTGGTGTGTGGTGTGTGTGGTGTGTGTGTGGTGTGTGGTGTGTGTGTGGTGTGTGTGGTGTGTCTGTGTGGTGGTGTGTGGTGGTGTGGGGTGTGTGTGGTGGTGCAGACGTGACTTCCCCCTTCACTCTAGGTCAGAGCAAGGCTTTAGCCACGGCCCAGAGAGGGCCCACCTGCTGCTGGGTTTGGTGGAGGCTCCGTGCACTGGTGGGCTTCCTGCCTGGGAGGCGCTGCACTGGCTGTCTGCTTTCGTGTGCAATGAGACAAGTTGTTGCTACAGCAGGATCCACCTTTACCCATGAGTTCACAGAGGAAAGAACATGTGGTAGTTTTCCTATGGAGAGTGGTCATTTCCAGTTCTACTCCAGGGGGATGCCTGAAGGAGCAAGCAGGGGTCCACAGAGAGAATCCGGAGTGTCCTCTAACTCCCAAGAGCTCGAAAGTGCACAGGACCCTTTGGAAGCTCTGCACCACTTGGTCTGGGTGGGCTAGAGCTTCCCAGTGATGAGGGTGGTGGGTGGTGTCTGAAGAACCCCCAATCCTCACATGAAGAGCAGTCCAGCTTCTTGCCCAGAGAGTGTGATGCCATCTCATGTAAGGTCAAGTAAAATATTCCTGCTCTCATTTCCTCCCCTCTCGTCAATCTGCCCCCTCCCCAACTTCAGAGGAGCTTAACGAGGGAGTGAGGGACAAAGGGGACTGTCAGGAGGGGAGAGAGTTGACCACATCCACTCTCCTTTCTATGGATTTCCCACCGTGGTGCGGCAATGAGCTGGTGGGTTTCATGTTTAACTGAATTCAGTGTCCTTAATATGTGGGCTCATTAGCCCTTCTGGATCTATGGATGGAATTCAGGGAGTTTGCAAACATGGGTGAGAAAATGGTTAGTTTTAATTTCTCCTAACCCCTAACTGAAACTTAGCAAATTCTCCAATGATGGACATAGACAGCCCACCCATGATGCTACCATGGGAAGAAATCACGGTATTTTCCTTCGCATTACTATGGTAGCATATATCCCAAAATATCATTCATGTTCACCACTAACGCTTCCTTAAAATCATGGTAATTATCAGATCTGTTGCTTAGCGCATTGATAAAGAAGCACATGGATTTTGCATCACAAATTTAATTTTTATATTGAGTTGTAGGTTTCAGCATAATTCTCTTCCTCTGTAATTCTATGAACTATTTTATATTCCATTTAAAATATTATTCTGATCCATGGACTATACCAGATGGTCACAGGAGAATATGGCATAAATACATCAATAACCCCTGACCTAAGCTGAGCATTTTCATGATCATATTAAACTGGACATTATGATCTCTAAATTGACGCTATGTTTGTGACATGAAATGATCATAAAAGTTTATTCCTTAAAAATGACCAGAAAATTGATAGTACTGGCTAAATTTTCATTCAGAATTAAGGGAATGAACAAGCACTACGGAAATAAGGGAGGCAAGAATAAAATTGCTTGATATTTGCATCTCATGAATAATTCTTTCCTAAAAAACCAAGTAACTGAGTCTCATGGCCAGATGTGATACAGCAAATTCTGTGACTAAACAGTATCTTCACAACATATATGCTATGTATTATGGTAACATTTTCAGAGTTATCTGTACACTCAAACTCAGGAGTTCATTTCCGTTTGCTCCGTAACATGGCATTTTTATAAATTGTATCCTTCTCTGGAGCTTTTACTTACTTTTAAGAATATTAATGCAAATTAAAAGGTTTTTATAAAGAACTGTATTGTATTTGCTTCTTTAATATATATTCCGTTAAAGGAGGAAAATGTGACATAAAAAACACCTGCTACAAGTTTATTCCCACTGAGTCTTCTGCTGGTATTTTCAACTCTTTTGCACATAACATTATAACAGTGTAAGAAGTTCTGGCTAATTTTGAACCACGACATTCCAACTCAGGATATGGAAATCGATCTGTGATCAAAGTGCCTTCTAATCATTATTGCCAACAACAGACAGAAGCACTTACAGAAAAGAAAATGTCAGGGAATGATTGTCATTAACGTAAATAGACTCACTGATTCAGGCACAAGAATCAAACTAAACTGCTACGTGTTAAATGCTGTGATCTTCTAGGTAGAATTCTTAGCCCTTCCATCATTGTCACTTTCTTGTAAAAAGCTTGAAGATGATCACCACAAGATTTAGATATTACAGAACAATTACTTACAACGTTTATGTTCTCTGTTTGGTAAAAAAGTCACAAGGAATATCAAAATTTAAGATGGCTGAAAATGATAGCAATTTACTGCTTTGTATTGATTATTTCAATAGCTTCTTGACTAAAGTGTGTATGTTCTTTTATTTAGCAGTGATTTTTTAAAATAAAAAGTTGTAATATCTTACAAATATCATACAAAAAAAAACGCCACAAAGGCTCAATTATGTGTTAAGTGTTCCTATTATGTGTTAGACATTAACTTACTACATGCAATAAATTAATTCTTAATTAAATAGCTCTCTCCAATCTGACTTTTTACTCTACCAGTCCCTGATACTGTCCTCCACGAGAAAACCAGAGACCTGCACGTTACCGAGTCCACCAGCCAATTCGCAGTCTCTGTTTACCTGACCTCTCAGCAGTATGTTCCAGTCCATAGCCTGTCCTCTGGTCACACTTTCATCAGTTGGCTCTAGGACATCTCATTGAGGTAGGTTCTCCATCTACCTCAGCACCTGCTCTGTCTCTTCTCATTTCTGGATCCTCTCTTCTCCTCATCTTCATGGTTTAGCCCCAAATCCTTTATCGCTCACATGTTGAATTGGTGATTTCATCTGTCATCAAGGCTTTCAACATCGGTTAAATGCTCATGTTCCCAAAATTCTTTCTCCGATCTAGACATCTACTGAATTCCAGGCTCCAATATCGAACCACTAACTCGACTGCTCCATTAAGATGGCAAAGAGGTACTTAAAACTAAGCTGGTCTGAGGCTCCCTGAACCAAGTCCATTTTGTCCTCAGCCTTCTCTGTCTCATTTGAGGACAACGCCACCACACTGGGGGTTTAGGCTAAAAGCACATGGAGTCATTCTGAAGTCTTCTCTTTATCTCACACCACACATGCACCAGGCAGTCCCATTGGATCTTTTATTAATTTAGCCTGAATTCAGCCACACCTCACCACCTCCACTTCTGCCACCGATAGAAAAGTGTCTGAGCCACGTCACCGACTGCCTAGGATACTGAAAGAGCCTCCTACCTGCGCTCCCAGCCTCACCTTTGCCCTTTTACCGTCCATTCTTAACACAACAGCAGAGTGAGTGACCCTTTTAAAATGAAAGTAGGATCACATCCCTCCTCTCTTCAGAAATCTCCAATGCCTTCCCGTCTCAGAGTAACAGCCCTAGTCCTCACACAGGCCCATAAAGCCCTGTGTCATCTGGTCCCAGCTGCCTCTCTGACTCTGCTTCGGCCATGAGGACCTCCTTGCTGTTTCTCAAGCTCACTCCGCGCACCTCTGCCTCAGGGCCTCTGCGCTTTTCACTGCTCAGCCTGGAAGGCTCTCTCTTCTTTACTCAGTCATTACTCGAAGCCATCCTTGTCTGTTAGACCTTACTCGTCTGCCTATCCAACGTGGCAGCAACACATCCGACACGCCCATGTCGTGTTTTCTTATTTTCTCCTTTGCATTTATTACTACAATATATCTAGTTCATTTATAGTGTGTATTACCCATTTTCCTCACTGAAATGTGAATCCATGACAAAAGGATTTTTGTACTTTTAAGAACTATTATTTTGTCCATAGCAAGTGGTCAGTAATATTTCTTCAATAAGTTAATTAGGATGCTTTGAAATTTGAATGTTATTCTTCCATACACTCTAAAAGCATACATAGTTTTCCTTTCTTACCACTTAAGAGTTATATTTTTTATAATCTTCTGAAATTTATAAATTTATGAATATTGATTTTGGAAGACAAAATTTAGAATTTAAATACATTTAATTTTTTATAAACTTCAGAAAACTATAAAATGATAAAAATTTACAATTATGGTCTTCTAGCTTTTCTCCTTCAAATTCACTATTTAGGAAGAGAATTCCATCTGTAGGTCTCAAGCTGCTTAATCTGTATTTAAGAAATCTAAAACGGATCTTATAAAAACTTTCCAGATGACAAAACTCTTGCCATTTAGTTAAGTCACTTTCCTGGTCAGGGTGTTCAGCCTCACACGACATTTTTTCATGGAAGAAATTGAATCACTGATTCCACCATTTCTATGCGACACACCTTCAGAGTTCCATACTTCCTTCTGGGTTCATATTTACTTTCTCTCACTGTTCCCCCATGTCTTAATACATTTATTTCCATTGTAATTAATTTTAACATAAGCAGGCCCAGTCCAGGCAAATTTTATGGGTCAAATGGGGAAAATATTATTATTTTGATGATTAGACATTACAATTATATTCAAATTGACGCAAATTTAATTCATCTGTTTTTTATTTACTGCCACAGTGCCTGACAGTAATAAAAAAAAGTAATGATAGTTGTTTGCCTGGATTTAGAATGTCATTTACCAAAGTAACCCATAGTTTCTTTAGCTTAAAATTAAAACAAAAGTATTTTCCTATAAGTGACATTGCAAAAATCACATTGACAAAGTAATGCACCAAAAACATACACAGAAGGCTTGAGGAAAACATACTGACATACACATATTGGCTTTCTCTGGGTGGTGGCATATGCATTTTTGATGTTCTTCTTTGAATATTTAAGTGTTTTCCATAATTTCTACATAAAATATGTATTACTTTTATAATCAGGAAAGAAAAACATTATTAAAAGGTTATTTCCAATTTTAAGTTTTAGAAATCCAGTTAAATTCTCTATTTAAACAATTCTGCGTCAAATATGTGAACTTACCAGTGTTACTCCCTCGTCATTTTTCTCGTTGACATTTCCTCCAGATGATAAGAAATGCTTGACATCTGTTAACATACTCAGTGGTCTCTGAAGCTTCATCTGACGCAGAGAAATCAGATCCACTCCTAGGGGAAAAGAGGGCCTTTCAAACAGAATGTCGGATGCTTCTCAGCTGCCGGAACTCAAAACAGCTTTATCATCAATCCTTTCAATATGCTCCTCTTTGAAACACTTCTTCCACTTTGAACTCTCATTCAAAGCATAGATAATTATTTCTCTTTGCGTACAATCTATTTCCAACTAAATTACAATTGCTAAAGGAAGAATAATTCACCTCTTGTTAGATTACAAAGAAAAAATATGATGTCTTATACACGGCAGGCTCTCCGTGAATACTTGTTTTAGTACAAATCATCAACATACACTTCCCAAAATAGTTTAAAGTACTTAAATTGAATTGAAACAAGTTAGAAAGATCCTATGATTTTTCTGGCCAAAATAGTTACTCCTAAAAGCAATGTGGTATTCTGGAATAGAAAAAGGACTTTGGTGGAAAAACTGAAAAAATCTGAATAAAGTCTGTGGATTAGTTAACAGTAGTGTGTCAATGCTCTTTTCTTAGTTTTTTTTTTTTTTCCTTTTTGTCTTTTTTACTGACCGGTAACGGGATCACA